AACTTTGCTGGACATAAGTAATATATGCATAATACTTATTAATTAATTAGTCTTTACAAATTAATTTAATAATTTAGTTTACTGCTAAGACGAGTTCCAATCGCAAGATAGCTGGTTTGAGTTATACTGGAGGACAAAAACCATACAAGGACCAGGAACAGGGAATGCTTCCACTATCAAATTGGAAATTTTTATCAATTATTCCATTTATTCGAAAATTATTATATAATAAATAACAAGATTTGATTGGCAATAATTTATCATTTTATAAAAGTATTTACCATCCCTGACTAGGGCAACAATTTAAGATCAAGAAAAAACCTTCAAAAAGAATATTTTTGAATATTATAACTAGGGTTGTAAAATTACCATAATTTTACATAATTTTGTATAATTTTGTGTAAGTTTATAGTAACATAGTTTTCATGTAATTTGTAATTCACATAATCAGCTAAATCCAGCTCAATTACATGAGTATATTGGCAAGCTTTATCTGAAGTTTGTACAAATTATAATATAGATGCATAAAATATGTAATCATAAAATAGTAGTAGTTAATATTTGCATAATTCGATAATGTTGACTAAGCTTTCATAATGCTGGTACTTTATATCACATAAAATGAAATTTACATGTAATCTATGTTACTGAAATTTATGCAAAATTACATGAAATGTAATATTGTAAAATGTAATTTTCAACCCTAATTATGACATATCTGAAATTATGGCATGAGTCAAATGTTACAGCATATGTCAACATTATGGCATATTATCAAATTATAAAATATGAAATGCCTTGAACAAAGTCACAGAGCATTCATTTGTTATGAGATCACAACTAGAGTTGTTAGGTGAAATTCAGGGGGTTTCACAATCGCAAAAGGCGAAACTGATTTTGACTTTCACCAAAAAAAATTAAATTGGCAAAAGGTGATGAAATTGACAAAAGTTAGCAAAATTGGCAAAAGTCAGTGAAATTGATGAAAGTCGATAAAATTGGTGAAAATAGTAAAATTAGAAAACTGTAAAAATAATAAAAAAAAGTTAAAACTCTTTCATGTAATTATTAACTTTT